ACTGTGCAGTATTAGTGGATGCAGCAGGTTTTGCCTCGTCTTGCCATTCGCCCCTTCCTCTTTTGGATTGTGTGGTGTCACGCATCACATTGTTTTAGTGCTTAAGTAAATGGAGTAGAAGTAGTGTGTTGGTAGCGACGGCGTCAGTTATGTCCCTTTAAGTCGGCAAATTGATGACATTTTTGCCTCTGCCAATGCATGGCCACCTCCTTTGTCTAAGAGGGCTCCCCACCCGCCCCCACGTCTTGTCCACTCCCATAGGTCACGTTGCGTTGTGTTTTGTGCTTTTTTTCCCATATTTATTGCCATATGTCGGTTCGTTCTTTGCTGAATTGCCACTCGCCTCTATGCAGTACAGTAAGCTGTTGTCTTATAAGCAGCCAGTTTTTTGCATCACATTTTTATGTAGATTGAGGCACTACTCTATTCACTTGTAAGTAGTATTGAGGAGTCACTTCAAAGAGGGAGAAGTTCGTCTCAATTACGGTGCATGGAGTCGGAGGAAATTGAGGTGTTCTATTTTGTCTTCATCATGGGTACCTGCTGCAGTTGGCGTACTCTTTGACTTAGGAGAATTAGTAGCTTCAGCAAAAGAGAATGAACTGGAAGTGGTGGATATCCTCTTGTCCCCTCTTCTGAAAGGCATTGTGGAAGAGTTGAACCTTGTCTGTGTATGAATGAATCGAGAGGCTTGAGTGAATACGAATCCTCTCTTGTGACTTCTTAGAAAAAAAAATCAGTTTGGTTGATAAATAAACCAGTTGAGAGGCTCGAGATGACAGTTCAGACGGGCAGTGTAACATCCCAAGACTTTTCACTATCTTTACGAAGAAAAGTGGATTAGATTGGACTTCGGCTTAGTCTGCGGGCTAGTCTATGCTGTCAAAAACAAGCTGAATATAAAAGCAACTTTCTGGCTTCTCCTCTTCCCACCCTCCCTCCTCCCCTAAACCAGCCTTTACAATGTATTCGGCGCTGCAAGGAAACGCCCACGAGCCAGCAGTGCTAGTTATCAACTCTCATAGGACTAAAATAATGTAATTGATTTTTCCGGTAGTCTCGATTTCATTCGCAGCTACAATCAACCAAAAATGCTGAGAAGATAAGGGAGAACGTTCAATAACCTCCATTCGTGTCCAGGACCAGACACTGAAGCACTGGTCGAACAGAGTCAAAGACAGTTACGTAGGTACGGCGACTCATTGTACCGCCACCGCCAGTAAGACGGGCTCCAAGACAGAACTTGTTTGAGCTAGTCGGAGTGTTGATAGCTTGTACGTACAATATTGGAATGAGGTAGATGTCAAGAGTAGACACCGTTTTTGGCCCTTCGGTACCCAGCCAAGGTGAGTGTTCTTTCGTTGACTTTGCTAGGAATTTCTCACAAACCTTACATCCTGCACTTGTCAGAGTTGAAACTCCTTCTCCCTGCCTCTCCAAAGGCGAATAGTTTAGCTCAACTGAATACTTCCTTCTAGCTAATGAGAAGTCTCAGAGTGCTCCTCTGATGGTGGAAGACTGCTACAACTTCTAGCCTGGTTTACACTTTTGTGAATGCAAGATCGCATACCTCAAGCGGAACAGACTTCTCACTTGCTCACACTAATAGGGCCGAGAATGGCGTCGCCATTTAGCATTCACCTATTTTCGAGTTCCACAACCAAACCAGTGGTCAAATGAACAGTGCATTAGGAGACGACTTCCTTGTTTGCACTGTTCTCTTGCATGACTCAGAATCGGTGCTTCCACTTTTGCCCACTTAACTTTTAAAGTGAGGCTTAATCCTCAAGAAGTGTATATGTTCACTTACCAGACATTAGAGAACTGGAGCTCTCGGCAAAATTATAAGGCCTGAATAAAGGTGTTCAGCAACCCGTGACTTTCCACTAGGCAGATGACAGCAGCTCGTATTCTGGAGGAGGAGGGTCGGATCGAAAGTCAACCAATGCGTACAAGAGTAAGACGAAAAGCGCAGTAATCGCTGGACATTCATGTGGTAAAATCAACAAAGTATCCCAGCATGATCACTGTAATGCCTTTTTTATGTGACTACCTGAGATTTGGTGATCAATTTGAGATTTGTCTGGCTCTTGTACGTGTGGGCTGACATTCGAGCCATGCTCAGGCGTAGTCGCTCCATTCTCTTTGGAATACATATATCCCGCCACACTTACTGCCTTCTTCCACCCGACGGGAAGTCTCGGGACTCTAAAATCACTCAATTGATATTAATAAAATTAGACGTCGAAATTACTTATTTGGTTTGGCAGCGAGTGCATAACATATGGCCTAACTGCCTGTTCCGATAAGGCTGGCGTTGGAGATTTGTCATAAACTCGTTACATTGCCTGCATACTGTATTTCAGGTTATACAAAGAAATATCGAGAGACTATTGTCGAGCAAAGAAAGGACATTGATTAAAGATTTCATATCGTCTACTGTAGCGTCCCGAGGCTTACTAACCGGCATGAAAGTCACTAAGTGCAGCTGAATGCAAGAATTTCGAAGACGACAGGGCAAATGGGTCTGAGCATGGCCCGAAGACCAGCTCACTTGTACAAGGAACAAATAATCCTAAAATGACCACCAAGTGTCAGGTTGTCACCTAAACAAAGCGTTACAGTAACCTTCCATTAGGAATAAGGGCATTTGTGTTCCATACGATAACCTTTACAGTTATACTGGCTCAAATTACCAAAAACTGCTACAAAGGATTAGTTTTAACGCAACTATTATGCCTGAATGATCTTACATGTGGAAAACGAGCTCTTGGTACAACATCGCGCTCGAGGTGACCGCATCGGAGGTGTCCTTCCCAAAAACTGAGCTCGACTTTAGTACGCCTTCTGATCCGTTGCAAAATCTGGTTCTGCCCCAAAAATCTATGCTGGTAAGAACATTGTTTCAAAGTCTTAAAAGCTAAAAAGTAGAAACAGAGATCAACAGCTGTATATTCTTTATCCTTTTACCTTTAAATTCAACCAAATGCTAAACAAGATTTATGCAACATCTTTGCCATTATTAAAGTCAACCTTTTGAGTTATTTATATTATCATAATATTTACTTCTGGCTAGCTTATCTAATCATTGTTAAGTTTTGTAAAATCTTTTTGTTTGTGTACACTTCTTATCCATACAACAAACTCAGGCGGCATTCTAGATTTCACTGCTAGGAACAGCTGATTCTTAAGTGTTGAGCCTTTTTTAACACCATGGTGCGATCGAGGAGCTTGCCTCGTATTATTCCGATTTCCGTTCGCGCAACGCATAACTTTCTTTAGATAGGACCCCACGAAAAGTTTATCGTTCCTCTGTGGATGAAAATATGCCACCAGAATCTTTTGTTTCACAGCCTCTTCGTAGGTCAAAGCGCCTGATCATGAGACTTTTTCGTGGTCGTGATTCCACACCAGCTAAGAGTAAAAACTCACATTTCCGATTAATCTAGTCGGCTTAATTTGTAATTTAGGGTCATCTGATTCTCCACCAGATGAAGTTGCTTTGAGTGGGACAGATTCCGACGTCGAACTAAACTGTTCAAAGCGGTTTTGCTTTGATCCCGGTGAAAAGACTTTAATTTCGAGAAAGGCGAGAAGTCGAAGCAAATCTAGGGTTTGTATTTTATAAACATTTTATATTGTATTCAGCTTGAGAGGAGTGTGGTCTCCTTTGTTTAAACATTTGATAGTTATTGAGGTTTATTATGTTTTTTTACCGATAGAGTAACATTTGTGAATTATGTGAACAAAATGGTTTTGCTTCGTCGTTTTTGGGTCTAGAACTGCTTTCAATCCAATTATTCCACTCTACATGACACTCCTCGAAGGTTGGATTTTTTAAGGCCTTTGTTAACTTTTTTATCCAATCACCGTTTCCATATTTTTTAGCAGCCTGACGATGCTGGGGATGTTCGCCATTCCAAAAAGCTGCGTCGGAAGTCCTCTATTAAGAATCCTTCCACTGAAGGTCTATTCTTGTGTTTCAGTTAGATTGGCCCCAACCGATCTTCCGTGATGAGTTTGATTGTCCTAAACTTTCTTACAGGCGATGGACTAATCTTAACCCGACAGAATGGGTGTAGCAAGGCTTTGGCTTAGCTGGGGATTTTAGGTGGAAAGCATTGGAAATCCTGAATCGTTCATGTATTTTTCTCCCCTGATACATTTGAGAGTCCTATCACTAGCAGTAGGATTTGTGTTTCAACTTGCTGGATTACATATGAGCACATAAAATTGCTTTTATATCCTCGTCTAGAGTCTATGGAGTTGGATGAGTCGAGTGAATTCCCCTCAATGCGAGAATTGGATGAGGTAATTGCCGAAATACTTACCCCTTATCAGCAGGAACCACTTGGAGGTGCGAATACTCTTCTCCCAGTGAGCTATTTGTGCATTATTTGTTCACCTACCAGTAATATTTCATTCTTCGCATTTCTTGTTCCCGTGAAATCTTTTCCTTTAGAAGATTTGATGGACTCAATTCGCTAAATTGATTGCATCACTGCTTGTTGCCTGACTACCTAGTTGTTGCATTCCCAGCCAGCTCTCATAAATGCTGATAAATAATTTTCCCATATTTTATTATTTTCGTTCTTATTGCAGGCGAAATATGCTTGGCTGAACCAAAAATTCGTCCCACCCTCGCTTAGAGGTCTGGAAACAATCTCCGAAGAATGTTCATTTTCCATTCAGCAACGTCGTTATCGGCGCTTGTTGGCCCCTCCTTCGCAAAGAACAATGGCAACTCGCCGAACGCCCCTTCAGGGGGGCTTAAATTGCCGCAAAATAATGAACAACTGTGGTCAGAGTACATTCTGGTCCAAACGGCCTCTTCCGCGGCGGCTATTCTTCGGTATTTGGGATGAAAGTTTGTTCGGTTCAGATGATAATGTGGACGACAGTCTGCGGAAGTTCTGTGATGTCGCTGCAAGGAATAAGGCGCTGAAGCGAGCGAAGATGTTGCGACAGGTAAATAGACGGCCTGGAGAGGTGTTTCAAATCTCCGCTGAGACCGAGCGGAGGTTTGCAATCTTTTGGAAAGAAATGGAGACTAATGAAGAAGATGAAGAATAGACATGTACAGACTAAAGAAATTATGATTTGAATAGAAAACTGTGTGAATATTTCCATTGGAAGTTTAAATGCATGGAGGATCAAGAGAGGGTAAAGGAAATGGTATTGGTGCATTTGTTTCCTCGAAAAGCCACAAGCTTTCTTCATCCAACATCATCAACGACATCAAATCGATGTGGATACTTCCTTAGCATGGCACAGTACCTCGAGGGCAACACATGCTGTTTGAGAAGGTTTGTGTTACACCTCAAAAAAGCCTGGAATTAAGGTT